TCCTTCATGAGGATTAACAGGCGTCAATAGTAATGAAAAAGGTGATTAAGGTTTTTTTTATATGAGGCAATGGCTGAACAATCACAAACTATAATAGAAAAAAGAAAAGTTATCCCAGTTTATGATGAATATTGTTTATAAATCTTTATATCATAAACTATTATTCTTGTTAATGAACTATGTTATCTTAAGATTAAGGTCGATAAGTGTGATGTATAGATTATCATTATTATACCTACATGTAAAGCCATACATTCATTAATAATAATAGTAATAATAATAATAATAATAATAATGAAGAACCTTCTTGCTTACGTACATCGATTACAAAATTGGTGTTTTAAAGGAAAACTATATAGAAGGGTAAAATAAACTTACCGCTAAGCATATCTGTTATACAATGTAATAGGATTACTATTATTATCATTATTATTATTATCGCTACACCTTGCCTTTAATATATACACCAGATTATTTAATCATATAACAAGTAGCCATTGGTTGTACTATCAAAACAGAGGTAGTAATAACAATAATAATAATAATAATGGGTACCATATGTATCCATTTAGTGAAGAAACAAATTCTCATTTATCGTTTTTTTCTTCTTATTATCTTATTAGAAAATCATTTACTGTACTGTTATATTGAATAAAACATTCAACATAGCGTCTATACATGTGATTTACGTAACATAATAAATTACGTATATATACATATGTAATATGAAGTGCACATTTATATCTAAGTATATACTATCATGGCGACTAGATTGCTGAAGGAATCAATAAGTAGGCAAGTTATTTCATATCATAAACATCCCTCTCTCTTTCTCTCGCTTTTCTTTTTGTTTTTTTTTGATCTTTTACAATAATTTACTTTATAGAAGTAAAGTGTTTTGTTCATAGAAGAAATATGTTTTAAATGATGGTCAAATGTAATTCAAGTTATATTTGACATAAATATAAATGATGATGATAATGATAATGATTATGCTACAACCGGATCTGTTGTGGGATATCAACTCACTGAAGACAATGGCGTACAGTGGAGCAACTTCGTGGATTGGTTGAAGTTAGACAATTACACCATTGGATGCCGGCCAGCTCAATGGTCTAGTTGGTTAAGCGCCTGACACGAGACTGAGAGGTCATGGGTTCGAACCTCGCGGGTTGCGGTATCATGGATGCGCATTGTTGAGGAGTCCCATACTAGTGCCTCCAGGTTTTCTATGGTGGTCGAGCTTCAACTGACTCATGATTTCAATCGGTGAAATTTTTAAAATGGACAGTTTATCACTGTTGAGTTGTGATTATATTTCATTTCAAAATGCATAATACTGATCTTAAATTTTCATTGATTAGTACAAAGCTGAATTTTAGTTTAATGAAATTCATAGAGGAAAAAGCTTGTTCACCGATTTAAATTGACTATGAAATATAAAAATTTCAAGCCCACAGATTTCTAAATAATGGAGCGTATCATATCAATAACAAGATAGCTTACTCACTTTCTCCATTACGCGTCATTTTGTTTTGTTTCGTATTTCCGATCAACGATTATATGAAATATACGTATTCATAAATCCATTCTCTTATTTCACTTATTCGAATCCGTCAAAGCAAGTTAGGTCGATAATTATGTGCAAGGATTGGCTATATGTCTATTTCAATCACAAGCAGCAATTAATATACGATCAAACTGTAGTCAGATTTAGGGCCATTATACTACATTACGTTGTAACCGATTAATAAGTAATAAGGTTATTATCAAAGAAAATAATAGTTTGGAAAACGAATTTTAAAATATTAAACCATTGAATTCGTATATAATTCATCATTTAAGCTGACATCATGAATCGATTGATGTTAGATCATCATTGAAAACCTGAAAGCACTGGACAATCGTTTCCTCCTGTTGTGGGACTCTTCGGCAGTGCGCATCCACAATCCCGCTAGCGGGATTGGAACCCACGGACTTCAGTTTCGTGCGCAGACGCTTAACCTTCTAGACCAACAGCCCAATATCTGACTCCAAGTGGATCGTATGATTGATTATTATTGAAATATACATAACGTCAATCCTCATAGAAAATTATACACTTAAGTCATGCTGACGAATAACGGAATTAAATAATTCAAATACGAGAATGGATTCTTGAATATGTATATTTTCTACAATCATTGATTTGAACAGACGATCAGAAGGACAAAACAAAGAGAAGAGAGTGAAGCAAAATAACGCATAATGGAGAATACGATTAAACCAACTCACTTGAATAAAGCGTGACTCAATATTTATAGTCAAACAAAAATAAATTACAGATATCTGATGAGTCAAGGGCCGCATTCCTACAATTGAACAACATATGGAATTCAAAACAACTGTCTGTCAACTAATACCAAAGTCAGAATCTTCAATACGAACGTCATGACAGTTCTACTGTACGGAGTTGAAACTTGGAGCACTACTACAATCATCATCAAGAAGGTACAAGTATTTATAAACAATTGTCTTCGCAAGATACTGAACATCAATTGGCCGGATACCATCAATAACAGCCTACTGTGGGAGAGAACAAACCAGCTTTCAGCTGAAGAAGAACTTAGGAGAAGATGATGGAAATGGATAGGACATACATTACGCAAATCGTCAAACTGCATCAATAGACAAGCGCTAACTCGGATTCCCGAAGGGAAGTGGAAAAGAAGAAGGTCAAAGAACACATTACATCGAGAAATAGAAGCAGATATGAAAAGAATGAATAACAACTGAAAAGAGCTGGAAAGGATTGGCCAGGACAAGGTTGAATAGAGAGTGCTGGTAGGTGGCCTATTGTCAAGGAGTACCAGGCGTAAGTAAGTAAGTAAGTGAGTGTGTGATGAATAGGATAAGCAATGCCCACACACACACATACACTCACATAAAAACAGTCAAAGTTGATAAGCGAATAATTAACAAAGTGAAAATGTGAATCAAGAAGAATGAATAAATTTACCACTCCGGAAGCTCAAATAACCTATGTGAGTTTAGCATAGCAACTAACACTATCATTTAATAATAATAATTAAATCACAAGCATATTTTCATTAAACTGACTAAAACATGCTAAATTAAGCTTTAAAAACAAACAAAGAAAATGCATTCTGCATGCATCCATACACAAAAATGTAATGGCAATTTCATAATAAATGAAAACATCTCATTCTCTCACTCTCTCTCTCTCTTGCTCTCGCTTTTTTTTCTCTTTTTTTATAGCGGCTTAATTAATTTTAACCTTATTAAGCATACTTATTAAGCATAGAATAAGTAATATATAACACTACCTCACAATGTTCACCCAAATATTGTGGATCACATCTAAATTAAAATGTCAATATAAATGTAATAAATGATTATTTTAAAGAAAAGAAAAAAAGAGAAAAAAAAGAATTTTATTTTCCTAAAATTAAAAAAAAATAAAAGTGATTAAGTTTGTTGATTGTGGGGTTGGGGTTGTTTGTTTGTTTGTTTGTTTTTGCTTGGTGATTTGTGTAAACTTTTCATATTCGAATAGATAAGATGTGGCTAGCGGTGGAGTCTAGGATCCAGGTTTCATCCTATTTGGGACTCATCACTCCGGTATTCCTTTATTCAAGAATTACTGTCTAGTGTGTGATTCGAACAATAACGCATTATCTACTTAACTAATGAAGCGACAAATATAAGGTGTATATATGTCAAATAAGAATGATCCAAAATTCAGTCTAATTATCAACAACTGAATAATCCAGACCATTAGAAAAATGATAAACTCCTCCTAGAGTCCCTTAACAGTTACTGACGGTCTCAAGCCCGAATAAAGAAGGAGAGTTAGGTTTACAATTAGCGACTTCATCTCGTAGAAAACTTACTCGCAAAAAAAAATCAATTCAAACCATTTAAACTCTGCCATAAGAGTTAAAAGTTTTTCATTTCGAATAGTTATGATGTCTCATAATGAAAGCCAAATTCCTTCAGAAATCACAAGGCATATACCCTTTCTAACAACTAAAGCAACCATTAATTTAGGTACATGGAATTAGAAAATAAAAATGATTGTTTAATGGTCTTTTTTGAAATCATGAGTCGATTGAAGGTAGACCACCATGGAAAACCCGGAAGCACTGGATGGCCGTTTTGTCCAAGTATGGGACTTCTCAAGAGTGCGTATCCACGATCCTGCGCCCCGCGAGATTCGAACCCATGACCTATCAGTTTCGCGTCAGGCGCTCAACCAACTACACCACTGAGCTGGCCGGCATCCGATGGTGTTAATGTCTAACTACAAACAATCCACGAAGTTGCACCACCGTACATCATTGTCTTCAGTGAGTTGATATCTCACAACAGACCTGGTTGAACTCCACTGGTAATGCCTTCTCACTAGAACTCAGGAGTATTTCTTGAAGTCAGTCACTACTGAGAAGATGATTATTATCAGAAGGGGTTTTGTGGAGTTTTTAGAAATTTCATTGATTGAAATCATGAGTCAAGTGAAGCTAGACCATCATGAAATACCTAGAAGCACTGCATGGCCGTTTCATTCTATTGTGGGACTCCTCATCAGTGAGCATCCGTGATTCCGCACCCTGCGAGATTCGAACCCAGTTGGTTAGGCGCCTGGTGCGAGACTGATAAGTCCTGGGCTCGAATCTCGTGGGGTGCGGGATCGCGGATGTGCACTGCTGAGTAGTCCCATACCGGGACGAACCGGCCGTCCAGTGTTTCCAGATTTTTATAGTTGTCTAGCTTCAATTGACTCATGATTTCAATCAGTGAAATGATATAGAATCATTAATACATGCAGAAATCGATCATATTTAATCAATCATTCTTTTTTTATTCAACTTAAGTTAGGCTAATAACTTTTTCTTCGATTTCTATTGACTTATACTTAACAATATATAATTAACATTCCTATAAACTTTTAAATATTGTTTCAGAAACATGGGTATTTTTTTTCTTTTTCAACTACTTACCTGCAATATGGTTTCCCATCTATGATGTAACAATGGCCTCGATGACAATAATTATGACAAGGATGTACTAAAAAAAAGAGAATTGAAAAAACAAACAAAAAAACATTAACTACATAAGTTACATGAAGATTTTTTTCATATTGATGACAGAATATAAAGTAGATAGGGGGGGAAGGGGGGGCCTATGGAAAAACAACGAATATATATATATATATATGTTTTACATAAATGTAAGTACATTAGAATTTGTTTTATTTTATTAAAACATATGAGAAATTATTCAACCATAAAATGATATGTTTTACTGTTAATTTATGGGAAATTATTCATTCTATAATTGACGCCATTTATATACAACTTAGAAACTATTTTATTTAAAGCATGAATATGTGAATAGTTTAGCGCCATTTCAATTTATGTGAAATTTTAAAAAAGAAAACCGAGATGAAAATTTGATAAGCATCATTTGAGTTTATATAAAATAATGTAGTTCATCAGTTATATATATATATATATATATGTATCTTGCGAGGCGGGATCATGGATGCACACTACTGAGGAGTCCTACAATAGGACAAAACGACTGTCTAGTAGTTCCAGGTTTTTCACAGTGGTTTAGCTTCAATTGACTTATGATCTCAACCATTGAAAATGTATATTGTAGTGCCGGTTATTATGTTAAGCCCATATACCTTATTTTAGCTTTCGGACAGCCCATTCTATTCATTCTAGTTGAGTCACATTCTGACCTTGTTAATTATTCGCTTATCAATCTTGACCGTTTTTATATGAGCGCGTAGGTGTATGTACACTTCTTATCCTACTACACATCACATGTCTGTAACTTATTTTTGTGTAACTATAAATATTGATTAACGCTTGGTTAAATGGGAGTTGGCTTACCCGCCATTTTCACTGTGCGTCCTTTCTCTTCTCCCTATTTCATTCGCTTTATATACAAAATATAGGTATTCAAAAGTCCATTTTCGTTATTTGACTTATCTAAATCCGTTATTGACTAACACGATTTAAGTCGATGATTATATACGAGGATAGACGATGTATATATTTCAACAACAATCATCATTACGGTCTCCTTGTAGTCAGATTTCCAGCCACAAAAGTGGAGAGCCCTTTCGACAACATCTTCCGATATAAATGACGACAAAATTAACGGGCTTCCACAATATATTTCGTCCACTAATGGACTGAAGTCGATCTATGTAGATGAATGAACTTTGACTAAGTGATTGACTGATCAATGAATGATTTTGATAAGTTAAAAGACTATGATTCAATTTCATGTTATTGAATATGCATATTTACTATCAAAATGTCTTAAATGAAAGTAGATCTGATTTATAATATCCCCTGGCCTTCACTAGTCACCCATATAGATTTGAAGCAGTCACTAATGAATTGCTTAGAAATCATAATGGAATTTAATTGTTCTCGGATTTCATATAAAGTTTGCAAGTACATCAGTCAAAGTCATATAAATGATGAAATTATTTATTTTATGTAAGGAATCTCCATCAATACACTTTGACAATATTAAGTCTCAAGTATGTTGGCTTTACATGTAACATATTTCATACTGGAAAATCGTTTGTTATAATTAAACGAATTTAAACATTATTCCTAATGTTGCCCAGAAGGTAGATCAGTCTACTGGTAAATTAGTTACATAGACTGAATGAAGCAATCAACATTAATATAAGCGATTTAACTGAGTTATGATCAACAGAATTCTGTTGATAGTAGGGAATAAATAACATAGAATTAGTTACAACTCAGTGGCCAATTAGTGTAATGCATTTCAATCCTACATTAGTTCAATACATGAATAGCTGAGTGATAATATTTTTCCAATGTGATTAATCCATGTATGACATGGGTGAAGAGTTGAAGAAAGTGTTACTTCATTCAAGTTTACAGATGCACTCAGCTGACAAGTAGTGGTCAACAATTTTTCATTACTTGACATCAGTAAGTCAGCTACAACGTAGGACCAGGCACAAATGTACATCAGTCCAAGTTGCCATACCGCATTAGCACAGCAAGATAAATGCTAGTTTCATATAAATAGTCAATTCAATGGTGGTAATGTGTAAAAGAAAGGTTGCATACAAAGATATAGTACAGGAAGAAAGAATTAGTTCGTAGAAAGAAAAATATGAAGCGATTTTAATCTCATACTTTAAGGGAAAACAAAGAGCATATACACCTACGCCGTTGTGGTCGATTCTGAGCCATGCAACCCAGAGTCTCTAACCATTAGTTACGATAGTCACGCGGACCCCAACCAAGTAGTCTGCATCTACCAATATGGCTCACACCATACGTTAGTGACTGTATGGACTGATACCATGTTTTGGTTTGGCCATCCCTAACTTTCTTCCAATCATCTCCAACACCAGTCAGTAAACGGTGTTCAAACACTTGCACCACATGGCCCAATCATCTCAGTCGATGAAGATTCAAAACCTCATCAACTGATTTACCATCATTCCCTAATACTCTGTATCTAACATCAGTATTACTTACCCGGTGATCCCAGCACATGTGAACAATATTTCTAAGGCATCTGTGGTCAGATACTAGTAGCTTTCGAGTATCTTCTGCCCCTTAGTGGCTACGTTTGACAGCCGTAAATTCGAACAGAACAGGTATAGTCGTCCCTTAATTGATAGACAGATATCTCGCCTTCTCCATTGGTGACGTAAGTTGGCAAAAGCCAAACGAACGTTTCGAACCCGTGCTGAGATTTCATCAGACACCAATCCATTAGGGCTGATCAAACTTCCAGTAGCACTCAAGACCACTGTATTCATAATCAACCTCCCTCTTCAATTCCTATTACTTGACATCCCACAATATATAATCCACAATGTTTAAAAATTGATTGTTTGATAACATGAATAATTAGCGAAAAATTGGTAAACAATAATGTATTTGAATTATTTAGAAAAAAGATGGTCAACTGAAAAATCAATATGTTATCTCACATTGATTTATTTATTGATTGATTGAATATCTTCTTCAAAATCACAGAAATATACTAACCGTTACTAAGAATAGTGCAAAGCTAAACGTTATTTGACATCATATACTGACTGATATCACTACGAAATAAACATTTAAAAAAAACAGGTTCAGTCTCCCCTCTACCCCCCCCCTCCAAAAAAAATATCAACATTTCATTACCCCCCCCCTCCACACATAAATCAATAAATTTAAATAAGATTCATTTGGAACATATGAAATCAAATTTAATGTTTTGGCAAAATATCAAAGATGTCATAAATATTAACAGTTTGAATTGGGGGTAGAATCTATGAACTGAAGAAGTGCTACTAAACATATAACTACCAGAATTGAAGATAAAGTCTATAGATTGATGATTATTAGATACAATTGGTTCCTTTCACTAATTTCATGAATGTTAAAACTATATTGTCAGTATAATATGAAAATAATTGATTTTATCTATTGGAAGATATCAACATGTGTATGGAATTCCCATCATTGGATGATTATCTTGGATTATAATCATGCTTAAATGTAATATAAGCATTGATTTCATAATTTCAATCCTTCCCTGGTTGGAGAGAGTCATCTCTCCCTCATGAAATGCTCTCACATGGCCGCGTGCATACAACCATTATCAGAGAAGTCCCATTCACTGTCTTCTCGTGGCATTACTGTTGTTTACAAAACTGAGAGGACGAATAGTGAATGTCCGGCGGTTTAATCAGGTTGGTGGACACAGAGAGTCCATCTAGGGAAGTTGGAAAACCCTGATTTCAAACCAATGGTGCACATGGGCTCCAGGATCCTGAAGGAACAAATGGCGTATGAACCAATTATTGGTCACCAGCTACCATGGGACTGTTTCCTAACGTTGTACCATTTCCTTGTGGATCAAACCTTTAGGTCGAAGGCTTCGGGTATGGCCCTCTAAGTAAACCACCTGTTTCGATTTAGTCACCTGGTCAGTATCCCAGCCCTCACACAAATCGAATGATTTATATTGCACATATCTATTTAATGCCTCCTTGTACCTATATTGATGTGTTTAAATAGATGAATAAATAAGTGGAAAATTAATCATTGACTCTTGGAAAATATAAAATTAGATTTCCAAGATGATATATCCAACCGCTAGAACCTTCATGAATCTCCATTCAAAGAGTTAGCACTTCGTTTCAAAGTATGTTAATGAATTGGATAAATTAAACCTATTAATCTGCATGTCGTTCTTAACAAACAACTTAGTTATTATTGATTCTATTTTGGGTCAGAAAAAATAGACAGTAAAGTATTCGACAAGTTTTTGAAAAGTTAAGATAGGATTTATGTTTTATAAATTCAAGGCCACTTCATAAAGTAAGTGTAGTGTATTTTTAAATGTCAATATTGTTATCAATTCTAGACCAAGATGTGCATAAGATGGTTTATAGTCAAAATTGATTGATCACTGCGTGGTGATCAACGTCATGTGTATCAGGTCCTTCTTAGTGCAGAATGCGTCAGGGAGTACCAGTTCACTCAAGATTACAGGTATACCTTGCTAACAAGTGCCAAATAGCACGAAACCCGGGTTCAGGGTTTTCTTTTGACTACCTTCAACCATCATCTTATGGTTTATAGTCATTTAGACGAAACGGCTGTTCAATGCTTTCAGGTTTTCAACGGTGGTCTAACATCAATTGGTACATGATCTCAATCAAAAACATTTACAAATCGTTGAATTTTATGGTTTTGCATTACAGATTAATTTAAGTTAAACAATCACTGAAGATCATCAAGTATTTCACAGTTGTTTCATCTTAGAATGATTGAACTCTGTTGATTACTAATTCTTACTAGAATTTGGAAATGTATCTCCCAAAGACAATAGATGACAGTCGCATGATATTGTGGATTGACTGAAGTTGGAAGTATAAAACTGTCTGTGAAAACTTAAGCTCCTCTATTCAGTACGTTCACTCAGATACGTGTCTTGTTAATTTTAAAATTTCACACGGTTTAATGGTAGCAAATCCGAAAGGAAACTGAAAATAT